ACAAAACATAATAATGAAATTGTCATAAATTGTCATAATTGTCAAAATTGTCATAATTTGTTTGTTTATTAATTTTAGGTAATGCAGCCTAAATCAAAAATTTCGTCCCATCGAACATCAAAATGTATAAGAGAAGAAACTAAATTTTATTAATTTTAAATTAAATTCGAGTCCAAACATGATTTTTCCATTACGTTTTAAAAATTATTCCTTTCGAATGTTGTGATCGCCAAAGCGTTCGCAAATTTGTGGTCTTTTTTTTCTTTTCTTTAGTAGAAAATGATTTTTGAATCGAAAAGAAAATGACTCGTTACTCGCGATGCCATAAACTTACGAGAGAAGCTCTAGAGAATTAAAAATTAAACTAAAAAAAACTAAAAAAAGGAAATTAAATTAAATTGAGAGGGGAAATAATTAATAGAAAAAGGAAATTGAATTAAATTAAATTGAACTGAAAAAGGAAATTAGATAGAGAAAAAAATTTGGAGTTTTTGCGGAATGTCTGACGATAACGAAACGATTCTTTCTCTATGCCGATTGTGAGTATTGATCCCAAGTTTTTCCCATACGATCTTGTGGTTTTTCATACTCTCTATTTACAGGTGGACGATCGTAATACTTGGAGATTAATTAGGAGCGCGGGTCGACTATTGTTTGTTTCTATAGACGGGAGTACGTGATTTATAATATCTAGGTTAAGTGGATATACGCCGGTATTAGTGGCGCTAGTATGGAAATTTATCGATTGTAGTTACCAAAAGAAGTTATTACTCTCGGTTACCTAAAACACTGGTTGAACTGCTACTGATACTCCGCAGATATCTCCTATCTGTGCCTCTAATAAAGCAAATGAGTCATCCGAAGTAGATTGCGTTGTTGGAACTCAAAGGATCAGATATCCTTGCGATATATCGCTTGGACAAAACATCCAAACATCAACGAACGGTTCAACTCTTCGCCGAGTTTCTCTCTCTAGAGATTTCCAATCGTATTAAAATTAAAATCGAGAGGTGGGGGGTGGGGGAGGATTTTGCTGACCAAGGCTAATAAAAATTTGGAAACTTTCCACTCGTATCAAATCGTCTTAACAGAGATTCATCATTCTCGTTCCAAGTCCCTTTTTCTCTTCGATCGCGATCCTGAACCCGCGACATCCCCTTTACCCCTTGATTCTCTTCCTCATATTTTTTCTTCACATTCTCAGTGATATTAATTTCAATTTAGAGACATTAATATTCATTTTCATCGTCGAGAATTTTTTGCCTCCCCCCCCCCCCAATTACAATATTTTCTCAGTGATAAGTATATTTAAATGTAACCCAGGCAAAACAAATGATGAGTTTATTACTTCTTAATCATTTCTATCCAACGATATACTGACGAGTTCAAAGGGAAAATATCGTGTACGATTCGGTCACTCGTTATGGTCCGCAATCAGTTGCCCAGAGCAAGTGGTTAAAGGAGCCTTAATTTTTTGTTCCAAAATTGCAATGTTTTCTCAATTTTAAGTATATTATAGTATATTATAGTATATATAGTATTATAGTATATACTATATATACTATAGTATATTATAATATACTATATATACTATAATACTATACTATACTATAATATACTATATATACTATAATACTATACTATACTATACTATACTATAATATACTATATATACTAAAGTATATATTATAGTATATATATATAGTATATTATAGTATATATATATAGTATATTATAGTATATATATATATAGTTTTAGGTATATTTAATTAAGTAAGGTGTGAATTTCATTTCTTTCGTCGACTCTCGCCCTTCCGACAATATTCACCAGGACAGCTTCGACAGCTCCCATTTCATCCCTTCGATTTCACTCCTTCCGCTTTCTCCTCTTTGCAAAATTTTCAAAGAGAAAAATTCCTCAGACATTTGTTTCTTTAAGTCCACTTGTCCGTCATTCATCCCCTAACTTTCAAGATGATTAGATGAATTCGCGAAACGCAGCGAAGAACACAGGAAGGGACGACACACCGGGGAATCAGACAGGAAACGAGGATCGTCTGGATCGCGGCGTGGTTTTCCGGTTAAACCCGGAAGAAGAGGAAGGCAGGCCTCGTTCCTCGTAACGCCGCAAGACGTAAAATTTGCGCGGCTTGGCGCGGGACAGGGGCCCGGCGAAATGACTGGAAGACAAAGAGAGGGAAAGAGAGAGAGAAAGAGAGAAGGCGAACCGGATAACGACAGAGGGAAAAGAAGGATCGGTGCGCGAGTAGAGTCGGTCGGTCGGCCAAAGCGCCGTATGGCGCGTAGCCCAGTAGCACGGATCGCGTTCTAGTGGTTCTCATTCGCGTCCCATCTTCCAGAAAACCTTGCCAACCGATCCTCTCGACAATGATCCAATTTTCTTTGATAAATATTTCTTTGATTCCTCTTCTTTAGGTTTGCTTCGATATACGAGCGAGAACGATGCTTTGGCAAACACCATCTGGCGCAAAAATTGTCCACTTGTTAATATATTGTTTGAACGAATGATATACATCGTTAAAAAATAATAAGTTCGTCAGTCTACACGAGAAACTGTACCGATCATTTCTGAGATATTTGACAAAATATATGTCTCGCGCCGCCAACTTTGAGGTTAGTTTTCATCCCTTTGACATCAAAGGTTGCCAATGAAAAGGAAATGCGTGTCAAATATTCATTTCAAAAACTACATTTGTGCCAAATTTCATTAGAATCGAACTGTCTTTGACAAGCTCTCAGATGCTGGAGTAATAAGGATGATTCTTGCGAGAAAGAAAATTGAGGTTATCCCATTTTTTAATACTTGTATCTGCGAGAGATTTTCATTGATCGACTCTTGTTCTTGGACGAAAATTTTGTTTCCCACTCTGGGAAATTTGGAAACCTATGAATTCTTATACCTTCACCTTTGAGAAAGAATTCTTATATCTTCATCTTCTGATCTCTTATTTCTTCCCTATTTCATTTATCAGCGACAATATTTCCCACGGAGAAACTAGAATTATACAATAAGCCTTTTCAATAATCTTTTTAACAATCTTCCCTTTTATTATCGTTTCCAGTCTCCCACGTAAAAACCCAAAAATCAAATTCTCTAATTTTCCTTCTAACTTTTTACTACAGAAACGACAGAATCTCTGATTTGTTCGAAATTACCCCAAAATTCATCTAAACAAACAGTAGTTTCCATAAGAAACTAACGACTTTCTTTAGCAGTTTGTGCAAGCTCACAAACATAACCTCTCAAGTAAAACCCTAAAAAATCAAATGTGCAGTTACTCCAAAATAATTAACATTAGAATTACCAAAATGATCAGTTCATAATCATTGTCAAGTTGCATTTTACAAATGCAAAAAAAGGGGCATGATAATAAAACCTTGTGCCTCATAAAAGTTCCCCCCCCCCCCTATCCTTTGCTTTAACGATCGTCGCTTTGATCGTCGGTGGTAGCCAACAAAACGACTGACGTAATAAGGACAGACACCCCGGCACACCAAGATCGTAAACTCTTAATTCGTTCGTCCAAGGTTTGTCCCAGTTGGCGAAAAATCGTCGCACGGCCATTTAAACCATCGTGAATCGCGGGGCCACGGGTATAATCCCGTTTGCCGCGGAAACGTGATCGACTGGAGCGAGGCCAGTATTTCTTGGTCTTACCCAATTAACCCTCTGTCACGGTGCACTTCTCTCCGCCGAAAAATTTCCCCAGGGAGCGGCGTGCAGACACGGACCGGATACCGTCTCTAATATAGGCTCGTACACGGTGTAACGCCAACGCTGAGAACCACTGCCGCGACTGGTCGGAGCGTGCGCCGTGCCGTTTTGAGGGCAGAAACAGGCATCTCTCTAGGCTAGGGATTCGAACGGTGCCACGGCGAGAAGGGGTGGCGGCGGTCGCTGGTGGCGGAGGGGCTGCCAGCCTCTTGCTAGCGACAGCCACGCTCCTTCCTCACCCCTGCCAAGTTTTCCAGCAATTTGGCCGTAGGAAAATTTCTACGACCGTTTCGTCCCGCCGCTGGATTTTCGACCGTTTTAAATATGCTCGAACGATTACGCCAGTGGTGCACGGCCAGCGGGTCGATAGCACTATCTGCGACGGATTATAGGAACGACGTTAAGGATTTCGTACGTTACTCGCACACCGGAAATACGTGTTGTTCGTTAGGCGTTGAACAAAGTTTGAACATGCAGGGGATTCAATTCAATTCGCAGACTCCTCTGGATGCTCCATAGTGCGAGCAACGTACTTAACCTCATGCGCCAGTAACTGGGTTCGCGGACCGTAACGAGTGACCAAACGATATACAATAATTCGTCTTCCCTTTTTTTTTTTTTTTACTAGTAATGAATCTTGCCTGGCGTGAAACTGAGAAAACATTGCAATTTCGGAATCCAAATATATTCCCGACGTGCGCGAATTCCCACGTTATTATTCCCAAGAGATTAATCGAATAACACCAGAGAATTTCGCACCCGATCTTTAATTAACGAACCGTCTCGATATAGAGACGGATCGGAAAGAGAAGTACCGAGACCTTGGCGACAATAGTCGGATTTAGACTTCCCTCCCCGGTAAAGAGAGATCGATCGCCGTTTCGGTAAGATTCTGCCGAGGCTTTTTTAGACACCTTTGATGACCAATTCCGTACCCGATTGGATTTAACAGTCGATTCCAATTGCTACTGCTAAATCGGTGGAATTGAAACGTGGATGTTTCACTTGGAAGTGCAGGAGGCGAGTGTACGAAATATAAGAGCCGAGGTGTCGGTATCAGCCTAGCCAAGTAGGAGGAAAATCTTGGCGGCTTGGCTTTGGGTGGTGGCGCTGGAGCTGCGCGGCACAGGAATGGGGGTGAATCGAGAGCGGCGCAGTGGTGGGGGGCGCGTGCCGTGTCCGCGCGGTGCGGGTTGGTCGGGTGAGGGGCGATCGAGCGGTGGTGGGGGAACGATGCGGTGGTGGGGGACGGACGGGTCGATGATGCCGGCGGTCCTCGACGACTCGAAACGCCAGTCAGTCTCTGGTCCACTCGAAGCCGCGCTGTTAACCTTCTATCTCATCGAACACCGCTCGCCGCAGCCATGGGTGACAAGGTTTGTGATTGCTTAGACGCACAGCCCATCTCTTCGAGTTCTCTGATACCAGATACGAGAATCTTCGCTTTGTAGCCACAGCGTGTCGCAAGCTTTATTCCCGCTTTGTCGAGCTCTTTCCCCTCTCTCTCTCTCTCTGTCTTTCTCTTTCTATCTCTCTCTCTCTCTTTCTCTCTCTTTCTCACTGACAGTCAGCCAGATAAACCGATACCGTGTGCGTGTATGTGTACGTGTAGCTTCTTGTGTGCGCTTTAGGTACTCCGTTGTGACGTGTATGTGTGTGTGTGCGTGTGCGTGTGTGTGCGATTGTAGGATGCGTGTCTGTGGGAGAGAGAGAAATGTAGAGATAGATGGAGTACGAACGAGAGATTTAGAGCGTGATAGAGAACGAAGGAAGGAGCGAGAGGCGCGTTAGAGGCACACGAGTGGCAAGCGTGAATGAGGTTTTTAGAGGTCGGAAGAATCGTTTCTCTCCGAGGGATCGGGGTCTCTCCGTTCGCGGAGAACAGGAAATCGACGGTTCACGCTAACGCCTTCTTTTAGGGATTCTCTTTCTCTTTCTTTCTCTTTCTCACACACATACACACTCTCTCTTTCTCAAAACCTCATCCTCTGTGTATAATTCTCGATCAGCCTCGTCTCTTCTGGTGACAATCTGTTTCTCATTGCATAGTGCTGCACTGCCACACAGGCTGTCAGGCGAACAGGTTTTCGGGAAAATCGGTGACGAGGAACGGAAAGAAGAGCAGAGGGCCAGGGAAAAGGGACAGAAAGAGGGCGCGATGGAGCGAGACGGTGGAAGAAAGAGAGAGGAGGCGAGCCTGTGGTGTAACCACTGCTAAAGAGGAGCTTCGATCGAGGGGGTAGGAGGAGGAGAGTGGGAGAGAGCAAGAGAGAAAGAAAGGCGTAGAGAAACAAGGAAGGGTTGTGCTCTCAGCGCTCTCTTCCTCTCTCTCTCTCTTACTCTCTCCTCTCCTCTCTCTTTCTCTCTCTCTTTCTCTCTCTCTCTCTCTCTCTCTCTCTCTCTCTCTCGCTTTCTTTCCACATCGAACTCTCGCGGAATCAGCGCGAAGCAGTTCTTCCCAGTGATCCGTTCCGTCAGTGTCGTCGTTTCCAGGAAAGCGAGGAAGTATCCTCGAGTCGGAAAGGCTGTCCCTCCCTCTGTCTGTTTCTTTCTCCTTCTTCTTCTTCTTCATCTTCTTCTTCTGCCTCTGCTTCTTCTTCTTCGTCTTCGTCTTCGACCGGCCCAGTGCAAAAGGAACAACATGGTAATGTGGTATTTTCATGCGAAGAAACCACCCTTTCTCCCCTTTCAACCCTCACCGTGTCACCCCCACTGCATATCGCCTCTGCAATAGATTTTCTTTCATACCGTTCTCGCTTTTCTCTCTCTTTCTCTCTCTCTCTCTTTTTTTTTTTTTTGTTTCCTTTCAATTTCGTTCTCGTCCCTCGAATGGCATCGAGCTCTTCTCCCCTCTGAAGAATCACACACAGAATTGGGAATTTCTTCTCGTCGCTCTGGACGGACGTGTTTCGGGGAAAGAAAATGTTGGAAGCAAGAGTTGGAAAACTGTGTTGGTTTTACTAGCTGGAAGAAAACTGAAAGAGAAACAGTCGTCTCGTAGGAACAGTGGCCGGTTCTCTCGGCAGTGCTTCGATCGCGGGGATTATATACGCGTGGTTCCCTGACCCAATTGTGCGGCTCGAGAGAGTACTTTTTAGGCGTCGTCGAGTGTGCGGGGAAAGAAAGCTGGGAAAGTCTGTCTCCGTGCTTCGTGCCATCAGGAGGTGGGGTTGGATCTAGTTCCTCGACAACGGGGGGGTTGTCGGTGAGGGTGTCGCGGCGCCGCGCGCGTGCGCCACCCCTCGACCAGCTGCGGACTTTCCGACACGGACGTCACGATCTTTTCTTGCAAAAAACAAAAAAAAAAAAAAAGAAAAAAAAAAGAACGAAGAAAAAAAAGAGGAAGAGAAAGCTTCAATGAGAATCCTCGAAATTCCAAACGTCGAACGTTCCCCATCGAATTTCACGCGATTTTATTTCTCGTGTCATCTCGATTCACCGTCCCAGCGACACGATTTCTCGCAATTTCGCGAGATACGCGGAACGCAGTATCTGATCTAGTGGAGTGTATCGTCTCGAAATCTAGTGACGAGTATATCCCGTAACACGGCGTCGTTTCCTTCTGCAAAATGGTTCCACGGGCTCGTTCTCACTCGCAATCCTCTCCCGCTGGAATCGATCTTTCGTTACACGTTTCCAGCAGAAAGTAAGCGGCTCTCCGCACGGAGACTGGTATTTTTAGCGAGCTATTAAAGCTCACCTTTCGCCTGTGCGGGCTGTCTGTGCGCAAGCTCTCCGCAAGCAAGCAGGCAGGCAAGGATAAATCGGAACCCTTGATAACGATGAATTATAGCTCGCCCTCCCTGCAACACCACCTTCGATCTAATCTCTCTAAACCTTTGACCATCCCTTTCGAGCCTTTTCTAACAAATCCATCTGTCTAGGACGTTCTCTCTCTCTCTCTCTCTCTCTCTGTCTCTCACCTAAGAACTCTCTCGTCCAATACCTGCTTTATCTCGGTATAATCTTCGGGTGCAAACCGTATCATACGGTCGAAACGTGGAATAAATACACACCTAACCTGGCACTATAGGTTTCGCGACACGCCCTCGATTGCAAGCTACCCCTTCCGTTTCTTCCCCTCGTCCAATCCACCCTCTCTCTCTCTCTCTCTCTCTCTCTCTCTCTCTCTCTCTCACTCATTCACTTTGTCATAACGATCTCGTGTGTAGACGTGGACGTGGAGCGTTCTTCGATTTTCCAACGGAATCGAACCGTGTTTAGGAACCGGGGCGAATCGTGTCCCGGAAATTGGGTTGCCTAGATCTATCCGTCGACGACGAGGCTCTCTCTCTCTCTCTCTCTCTCTCTCTCTCTCTCTCTCTCTCTCTCTCTCGTACGTCGCGGTGAATCGATCGACGAACTATGCTAGAACTCTCTCTCTCTCTCTCTTTCCCTCTGCAGAGCTGCAGAATTCCTCGGATGAATTTCAACGTAGACAAAGAGCGAAGAATATCGAGAATAGCGAGATTTTCTAGCTACTTTTTTCGTTCATTTGTATTTCACATTTGACTGGATCCGTCTGTCGCCAGATCGATCGGCAGAGTTCGGTGCAATTGGAACCAGTTTCAGCCTACTTCAATTGTCTCGTTCTGATGAATCGCGAGATATTCTGTTAGCTCAGTGCTGCTTCGATCGTGCCTATTGCTTTTTTTTTTTGGTATACGATTTTTCGCGTACAAAGTATGAACCCTCTTTCGACACATCGAACATTTCATCGTTCCATTCACTTCTACAATCTACAATCTACGAAATGAATCTTGATGATCTCGAGGATCAAGAAATTTCGCTCTGTACTTGAAGTGACGCCTCGATACATCATCGATTCTTAGGTATATTTCGGTATATTTGGTTCGTCGTCTTTCAGTGTATACTTCATTCGTTCAGTAAAATATCAATATTTATAAATATTTACGAGATCTACGAAGTGCACTTCACGCGAAAATCGGCAAGAAATTTCGTTCAAGTCAGATTTTTCCATTTCCAGTACGACTCGGTTCGTCATTCTTCGTCATACACAATCTACGAAGTGAATCTTCGTTTTGAAGATCGGGGCAAGAAATTTCTTCACTCTGTATCTAAGTGCGTGCATACGTCATTTGTTATATGTGTTTCAGTATAATTCATACACTCCGTTCGTTCGAAATGTCACCCCGCAGCCCACGAAGGTGAACTCGACGCGAAGTTCTTATCCAGTCGCATTGTTGCACCGAAACGAAAATTTCATTTTCTGAAATGCCTCGTCTTGCCTCGCGAGAATATCGAGAACGAACGTACGAGTATGTTGGATGCGCGCGTTCGCACGCATAGTGCTGTCTCTTGGCTGGTGCTGCCGCTGGCCCAAGGACGCAGCCGTCAATTGAAAAGGTCGATCCTTTTAACAGGCCCTTACCGCCGTTTTTCATTCATTGAAATTCCTTCAGAGCGACTTCCGCCTGTCGATTATCCCGCCATCGATCGCCTCGCCATTCTCTTCTCCGATCTTTTCCTCTTTTCCTTTTTCCTTCTCTTCTAATCACCGCCGCCGACGTTCATGCAAATGCATAATCTCCGTGACTGAAATCGAAAATTTTTCATCCTTCGGTCTTCCATCGCGAGAGAAACACTGTCTTTGTACGTATATTGCTCGCCGTCGCCGTGGTCACATATTTTATCTCGTACGTAATAATTGTCGAATGATTTATAAAAAAGATGCGAAGTACAAAATATTGAAAATGTGAGCTTCCATCGAGGTCAAGTGACTGTAGTCTTTAACCTCTTACCCTGGAATGACGTGCCACGCACGTCCCAAATTGCAACATTTTCCTCGGGTTTTAAGTACATTTAAATATATAAAGTATATTGAAGTATACTTGTCATAGTATTAAGCATATTGTTAAGTATATTAAAATATAACCCAGGCAACGCGATACGATGAGTTTATTATTTCCTATCAAAGGAAAAAAGACAGCGACGAATTCGAATACGAATGCTGTACGATTCGGTCGCTCGTTATGGTCCGCAATCAGCCGCCAAGAGCGAAGGGGGGTTAAAAAACACGGATTAAAATGTCCATTGAAATTCAAACAGTCTAACACAGGGCGGGTCAGAAGTCGCAATTATCTAGTTTTAAATTAAAAAAAAAAAAAAAATTAGTTTCTTCTTACATTAACAATGAATAATATAAGATAATAGAAATTTTATCGAACATCAAATGACGATAAATAAAAAACAATAGGTGGGAAGAAACTTTTTCGGCCCACTCTGTGCAATTACTGTGAATATCTCGGACCATCGTCATTTTTCTTTCTCTTTTTCTTAATATTCTCGGTTAAATTAGGATAGATCGCTCTCTCGGTTAAATTCGATTGGAAAAGTTAGACAGGTGGAATCGAAG